ATGCTCGCTAATCGAGGTTTCCCGGCACCGATTGGCGTAACTTTCGTGGTCGGTACTAAAACAGCTGGAACAGAGAAAACATCGCGTCGCATTGAACGGTGAAATTTTGGCAACCGGTTGGTTCGCGATATTCGACCAACGGCTCGGATATTCTCCCCATAAACACTATTACATTCGCGTTAATTACGCCTTTTGACCCGTTTAGCTTTCACCGTGACATAAGCGGCTATCAGCAACGGGAATTCATTGCCAACGGGCTTAAGCCGCGGGGACTGCGTTAATGCTCGCAATCGTAGCGTAACGCGTTTCACAATGTTTCGCGAGCCACTCTATTCGCGTTTATACACGCCGAAGTAATTCTCCATAGCTGACGCGTCGGGCTTACGCCGGTGCCGGACAACGTGCCGTGCAACGCCAACTGTTGTCGCGATTCCGACCGGTGCATCGCGCAACGCAACGTTCTTCCGCCGGAAGCGCGATCATCCACGAACTTTTGGACGACTCGTTCGCGAGTACCGCTTCCATTTCCGAGAAGATTCCGAAAAGATTCCGATGTTTTGTTCCTGTTCCGAAGGAACGATCGTAACGGTTATCCAACCTAACGACACAATGTTACGCCAGCGATATTACATGATCACGCCTCGAAGAAAATACTTTCGCTCGTATTTTACGTCCGTCGCCGATAGGCGTGCCGAGGACTATTCGCGTTGACGGACAGGACAGCCTGATTATCGTGTTGCCACCTCGAAAGGATCGCTGATAAAACCGACGATACACACCGTTCACTGTTGCACGATCTTTCGTAACCGTTCGATACCCACCTGGTCGACTGCTCGACTTCTCCAAATTGTTGCACTCGATCCTCCGTCGAAACGCGTAACCGTAAAGTGACGTAATTAATACTTTGTGTACTCTCCAACGTAAAGCCTCCTAGTAACCGATTAATTCGATTAATTCAAATTATTTTCTAGCAGAGCGAAAAGTGGTGAAGCACGCATTAATATAGTCGATGCAATTCCAATGTACGACAGAGATAAAAGGAAAAAAAAACTTCGAAGCGCATAGATTATATCCGAGATAAAACGTAGTTTCCGCGACACGCTTCGAACGTTAGATTAGCGAGTCTAACTTTGAACATTTGTCTACAACTGTTGACTCTACACACCGATACGTACGCTGAACGTATCTAAGAAAAACACGAGACGCGTGTAAACGATCGCTGACCCCGAGGAATTTTCTTGCAACGATCGCGACGAAAGCTCTTTCGTCCGCCAACTATGCTCTTATCAGACGTTGTCCGTTTCCTTATTTCACGCTGCGGGCTCGTGAACGAAATCCACCGATACTACGTCTGTTTTCTACCATATACTCGTCGCTGTTTAAATATCTTTTATAAATATCTTTTTCGAAATTCTCGACGAATCCTCGAAAGGATTCTAAGTAGTTTCAACGATTAAATTCTGTTGTTAATAACGGACATACATTCCGGGAAAATGTTATTATCGATGAATTCTACAGACGCATGTATCTCGTTTCGTCCGCGAACTTCAATCTGGTCGGACATTGTTTTCTCGTTTCATGCTCCGCGATCGTGAACAAGAATTGGAGCACGAATCAGCTCTCGGTTGAACTTCGAAACTCGCGCGAACCAGCACAACGACGAGACGTATCATTTGAAAAACGAATTATAACCGGTAACCAGACGAACGGATCGATGGCCGCGTGAACTTCAGACGCTACTTATCCCGTTCGTGTTTTTCTTCTTTCTCGAGCTTATTCGCCGTAATTGTTCACGTTCACGCGCGATGTCGTGTTTCGTTTTCCTCCGTTTCAATGTACGCGCGCAAATTCTTGCAGCGAAACGCAGAAAACGAGCTATCGCGAAATATCATCGACGTTCAACTGCCGTTGTTTTCCTCTTCCGTTTGCAACGCAAATTATTCGAGAAGTTTATTTCTTTAATGCCGACTAATTTAATTAATAAAGGCAATAACCTTCTTTACGATTAAACGAAATTTACAGTACCGAAAGATTACTCTGATATTTTTACCCTTTAAATAACAACTTGAAAATAGACGGTTAACACGTTGATCATAAATAGAAATATCGATCGATCGGGGTAAACATCGATTGTATAATAGGCTATCGTTGTTCGAACGTTGTCTCGTCCGCGTATCGATAAGGCTCGTAAATATTTTTGAGAAGTACTTCTTATTTTATCGATAGACAAACAATGCTTTTCATGGCGGATCAGCGATCGTCTATCGTTACGCGTCGGCGATTTAAACCGTCGTTTAATTTAAAGAATGGTATATACTAGCGTTTAATAGTGGTTAAATGATCTTCGATAATTCGAAGAAAATAAAAGCGTCGACTATTCGCTGCACAAGTACGAAAGCGCGTTGTTCAGATCCGAAACTTTGGAAAGTTGATAAGAACGGTGTTGGTTTCGTTTATTAAAAGGTAGACACCGCTCGAACAACTGGCGTAATCGTCGGTGGAATGTCCGCGATTCGACCAATATTACACAATACAAGGTAACAGTACTAGCCCGCAGCGTTTCCGAACCATAAATGAGAAATTCTTGTCCACGTTTCGCATTCTCTGCAAAGTAGCGCGGCAAACATCAACGTCCCACCGTAATATTTCAACGATCGTCCCCGTTCTAACGGAACTCGGGACATTCGTGGCTCTCTTTACCGTTCGAGTCACACGCGGCCTGATCGTGTTCGCGTTTCTTCCGTAACGCTGAATCTTTTGAAACTACATAAATTCATGGTGTCGGTCAGCTGTCACTCCCATGCGGATGCCAAGAATTTTCCGTCGCGTAGCGATACACGTCGTGCGGTCATATAACGCGTAGCGACGGAACGCTCGGTTATACGACACGTAGCAGTCTAATGGCCGATAGAACGCGCGGTAATCTAATAGCGACGGCTTAACGCTCACCGTTTCGCTATTTGCGCGCTCGTTGGTAAACGGTGCTGCAAAAATCAAGACAGAAAAACCGAAGGATCTCGAACGAAAGAAAAGATAAGAATCCGCGCAACGAACTCGCAACGACTCGGTGGACCGATTGACTGACTGACTGTCGGTGCAAATTGTCCTCGCGCCGCGTGTCGAAAGTTTACGGTGAATTATTGCGACGCAATATCTAGACGGGGGCCTGGTTCGCCGACTATCTGGCCTACTTCCATGTTTTTACTCGGCGATTCGGAGCGACGTGCACGTACATGGCCGTGTCGTCGTCGTCGTTGTCGTTGTCGTCTACTGGAGGTCGAGTTTGCTTCGTCGTTGCCAGTGGTTCGCGTACCTGCACGTAAATAGTCGGCATCCCCGGTTAGCTGGCTTAGCTAAGCACGTAGGGACGGTTACGTATCGAAATGCAGGTAAGGCCATTGCGAGTCGGCTGTTTTCTTGGCGTTGATCCCGCTAACCGCTCTCGACTCGACGATCAAAATAGCCAGGAGAAAGCCGTTTCTCTTATCTTATGCTCGTTTCTCGACCGATCGATCATCGAACGATAGAATTTACCTAAATCGAACGAAAGGGGACGATGGATGAATCAGCGAGTACCGTACAACTTGGATAGCCACGCGAAAGTAAGATCGAAGACGCACAGAACATCGATTAACGTAATAGTTGCACGGTATTTAGGGTAATAAGCCCTACCATGCTCTGCGAAATACCATAGACGAGAATCGTTGGTAAACGTTAAAAATTGTTTAACCGTATCTTTACCGACGCGCTATTATCTTTTTAATCGTACACGCGCAAGAAACGAAAACGTGCAAATGCAATTTTACCGTGGAAAAACCTTGTTCGAGCGTGTCGTTACCGGAACGAGCAGCTGTTTGCTCGAATCACGGGGCTTCGATTTCCCTCCGATCGCGTTCCCGTGAACGCGAACAAAAATTTATGGGTTTGCCGTCGGTCGAACATTCTTACGCGGTCAGAGGATAAATTAACGACGCGTCTGCTGGCACTGCTCGACTCTCTTTGATACGCTACCACGTCGAAAGCAACGTGGCGCCAACCCGATGATCAATTCAATTTAATTAACACGAACGAATCTTGAATTTCGCCGCGACAAAAGGACGATGGCTGAATTTCATTATTTGTCGCGGATCAATTAGTCGCGATTGCGCAGCAAGTTAGCAATATCGGTGATCGCAACGACGAGAAACGTTATCGACTCTTAATGCGCGGATGACAAAGATGCCATTGAAACGACATAGAATTCATTAAAGGAGAATGCAAATTCAATAGCCGGTTTAATTTCTGTCCCACGCGCCAAAAATCTTGGACGACTTTCTCTTATCCAGTCGAGCGTGTACGATCACGATCGAAACGCTCGATCGTTCTAACCCTTCGGGTATTAACACCTTATAAAGCCAAATTTTACGCTCGTGAACACCGCTTGCGCATCGAGAATAAATTGTCGGTATTGTTAAATTCGTAATGCCTTCGGTTGTACGAGATGGTTATTTTCGTCGCGACGGCTAACGCGTTAATATCTTACCGTAGTTCCGCGATCGCACGGTACGTTCATTCAGAAGCGTTGCCGTTCTTCTCAATTTCCAGATTCGCTGTGAAATCGTCGAGCTATTCGCTTCGCACGTGGTACGAGCGCGGAAAAGCAACGAAGTTATCGGGGAATTACGTAACGCGAAGCGCAAGTTTGCGCGAAACTGGAAAATTGTCAGGGGAATCGCGGGGAAAAGCGTTCAAGGTTCTCTTTCGTCGATCCGAGCGACATTTTAACCCACTTTCGCGTTGTTTCGTTTCCACCGACTCTCGACGTGATTTTCATGCACGCTTGTTAGAAACGGTGCATACTTCTACCTAAACGGAACAAAGAAAAATCTCGTTAAAACTCTCTCTCTCTCTCTCTCTCTCTCTGGCGATTAAACTTGCAATTACGCTACGGTATGATGTAACGCCAGATGCCATTCAAGTATGATTTTATCGAAATTATAGGTTCGATCGAGACGAAAACGCAACGATCCATCTATCGCGCGAACGAAGCGACGCGACGTTATCGGTGCACCTAGCTAAACAACTCCCTTAAAATATACGTTCCATCGATCGCGAACTAACTGCGCACTAGCGTCGCGACGTAACACTCTCGCAATCTGATTGCCCTGCTAATGGGCCGGACACTTCTTCGGGAAGCCACAGAAGGCAATTGACGCGTGTAAATAACAGGTCGCGACGCAACCATTCGACGAATTTCAACAGCGAGAAACGACAGCGTAGTTTAGCTGCTAATTACCTGTAACAACACGAGTTTCGCCTCGATTTACTCGATATTCCTCGGGGATTCGCGATAGCCAATTTCCTACGTCAACTACCTTGACTAGCCTTCGCGGAGGAATACGGAAATCGGTATACATTGGAACGAAAACAGATAGCACGAGGAAAGTTTTTCACCTTGGATACATCAAATATTCTACGTCGTATGTTGTTCGCGTTACAAGTAGGCTAATATTAAACGACATCGCTGATGATTCTGGAACTCTGTGTTCTAGCCGTCAATTAAACGACTACGGAAAGAAAATTAGGATGAAAATTGCAAAGACAGTTGGCACCGGTGAATATCGTGACGCGGCAAAACTGAAATATTACATTGAATAATTAAATGCGCGCGTCCTGAATCGATCTAATTTGAAAGTTGCGTCACGTATAGCAATCAACGCGTTAAACAAGTTCTAATGAACGTTGCTTTTCTTTTCTTCCCAAGGTGGTCTTGACTTTTTGACTAATGCGTCGCGACGATACCATACGATATTAGCTGTTTCCGCTGACTAGAGAGGGTTTACTAATCTACCTATCCTCTTGATCGCTCGTGTTTCAACGAGGATTAGCTTCAGGAACCAAGTTCATTAACCTGTGCAGCATTTCATTCTACCGGAGATCATCAATCTTCTGAAATGGCTTCTTTTCTTTGCTTTCTTCGTACCAAATTATCTGTACTCTTCTTATACACGCGTATAAGAAGAAAGAAAGAAAGGTAGGGTCAAACTTGTGAAGCCGCTTAATTAATCATAAGGGGTTGGTAACTTTATTTCACCTTAAATTGAACACTGTTCTTTTTCTTTTTTCCAGAAACAAATTAACGAGAGAACGATTCCGAATACCGGTAAGGCGACGTTAATTATCGTAGAATCGTGTTAAGAAATTAGCAACTCGATTCTACTATTATTTCATTCTGTCACAGATACAAATATTTGATTTTGAGTTTCCACTTGGCGTCGTTAATGCAACGTTAAATTAACGCGTTGATTGCCACGGGAGTTTCCGGCGACCAGTACCATGAATTTAATATCAACGGGCAAACGGACGAAAAGAAGTGTTTGCTAGTATTAGTGTTATATTAATTACATTCAAGGCTGCGAGTGGAAAGTTTAAATCGAAAACGGAATAATTGCGATTATAACGTATCGTGGCACACGCTAATAGTCGTTTTACCTAATAGCCATCGCACCGAAGTGCCGATCAAGAGTTTCGATCTTACACCTGTTATAGATTCATACGATTAAAAAGTAAGTAGTCTACGAGGACATTATATGTATAAGAAAAAATATGTAGGTAGATTTTAGATTTTAATTGGTAGATTCATCGTTGCACCTGCAACGAAAATTGAAGCCGTCAAAAGACCGTAGTACGCGTACCACGAACGACGCACGCTATTATACATTTGAACTGCTTTTGAAAATTGAAGCGACTAACGTTTTGAAGCCACCGATAGAATGTCGGACAGCAAAGATACCCGGTTTATGTAATGCCATAGATACATATACATACTTAGGTAGGTATAGGAGTGCGACGGTGTACTCGTACGTGCACACTCGCACCGACACGCTTCGTTCGGTGTCCGTTGGACTATACGCGCGCTCGTGTACTCGCACACGGACGAGAGCTAGCGTCGCGGTCTCGCGAGAACTGCGCCGCGCCGCGACCTACTTGTCTAGGCCACTGTGTCTACGTTTCTATATACGCGGCTTATGTTTTGCGTGAAATTCGCGTCCGTTGCGAGCGATGCGGAATTGCTCGCTCGCCTGGACTCGCGCACTTTCCTGCCAGATTCCAAGGAATCATCGATCTTCGACGAGACGGATATGTACGTCTCGCGAGCCAGCTCGACCCGTCTGTCCGACTCGCTTCGTGATCGGTAGATCGTGAGCGATCTTTTCCAGTCGACAATTGCTCGCTACAACTTTCTCGTTTCAAGTCGAGCAATTTATTAACGTTTCTTTATTTCCGAAACGATTGAAGCATCTCTTCAATTTCATCGTACGAAGGGTGATTGTCCAACAACGATCGAAATCGTCGTCGGAAAGCTCGCTTCATCGAAACCTTGGTCGTTCGTTAAATCTACCGGAAATCCCAACGATCGTGTCCTCTGATCGTCGACCGAATGGCTGTACGTTCTTCGAAACGTCCTTCTGGCCCGTGTATATTCTTACATCAAGAAATTAATTCGGCCAAACTTTTTATCGAAGCTATCGAGAACCCGGTGGGATCTGGAAATTGACGGTCGAACGAAAATATGTACGAGGAAAAGTGGTCGCGTTAGGAGAGCTGCGTCTAGACGAAAGACGACCTAGACGAACAATCGGCGTCGCGAGAAGATCTTGACCTGACGGACATCGTCCTGACAGTCCGTTTGCTGTTTTCAAACGAAATCTCTCTAAATGTCTCTAAAATTCATGGAAACAAGGTCAATGTAACTGAGCGAATTCCTGTAAGGTCGCGAGCATTCCTAGACCGGAAGACGAGCACGTTCCGATTCCGTGGTGTTCCTTTATTCGTGTCCCGTGGACGAGGCGACTCCGTGGCCATCGAGCTCGGTCTAAACAACAATTAACTACAGTTACGAGCGCGCCGGATTCCAAGGAATCTGGAACGCGACTGTAAAAAGTAAAGTAAGCGGTGTTTCTCTCTCCTCTCTCGGCCAGTCTCCTTTCCCCGATCCTCCTCCCTTTCTCCTGCTCTCCCTGTTCCTACCACGACCACCTTCTAACCGCCACGATTCGTGTCGACGATGCATCGGAGAAGGAGGCATCTTTTTTTCAACGAGAGGAAGAATCTCTCAGAATTTGAGTAAACGCATGCACGATATATAGGTCTAGGTTAAATCAGGTTAGGTCGCAGTTGATCTAACTCGGACCGTTGATCGGAAAAAAATGGTCGGTGAAACAAAATCGAGTTCAAAGAGAAATTTTTAAATACGATACGACGTACCGTTGCCGCGATCTCCGACTATTAATAATTGAATGTCGTGTAAGAAAAATAAGCGTCTCTCTAAATTGCCAAAACGTTGAAACAGACAGCAAGGGAGAGAGAGAGACCCTCGTGTTCCGGTGTCTCTCGGCAGTGGGTCGAGTGCAGCATACAGTCGAGCATTGGTCGCGACCCGATCCCCGATGCCTCGATCCGCGAGGCCGCGCTTAGGGACAGTGGGTCAAGTAGGTCGGTCCCGCACTGCTCAGACAGCCGACAGGCGCGCGCTCTGAGGTTACGTAACCCCTCGGAGGGAGAAAGTCTCCCCTCCTGGCCCCGTCCCGTTCCGTCCCGTCCCGTTCCGACCCGGTATAGCGGCGTCCTTCCAACGTATCCCCGGTTCAACCGTTTGCCACCTCCACGACCACGATCTGCGACTCGACTTGCCACGATCTGTGTTTACAAACAAATCCTCCCACCCACCTTTCCAGCGCACGATCGTCCGCCAACAGCGCCGCCTGGATCCCCCTGAATCGACCATCGTCGACCTGGTCGACGTAGACACCGCCGTTGGAGCACACCAGACTGCATTGCGCAAAATTGCACCACCACCGGTTCAACAAATTTTCGTTATCGCCTCCGGTCCCTTTTCCGGAAATCTTTCCCCCCGAAATTTCGCCAAGAACAGGGTCGAAGATTTCGAAAATTAAATTTAGATTCGCCCTTTCGAGATCAGACGACGATGGAGGAACAAAAGTACCATTCTTGGCTCGATTGCCTCGATATTTCACGTAAAACATAGGAAATATTTAACTCCGGAATCGACTCTTATCTAATTCGACGTCGTTAGAATACTAATACTTGCTCGCGCTAGTCGATATTTATCTCGCGGAGTAATCCCGAAAGTAGCCAGTTTTTCGTTACGAACGAAGACTCTCGAAGCTTTTTGATTTCGCTCTTTCGCTATACCTTTCTCGACACGATTGCCCTACGTGAGCCGATTTCGAGAGCAGAAACTTTGGCGAGCAAACGACTGCTTTCTTTCGTCGCGACGCGTTTCTCCAAACGGAGGAATGGAGCTGAATCGACGATGGAAACCTTCTAACGCGACCTACGTCTAGTCTAGTGTGGCTTGTAAACAATGACACGACTTAACTTTACGTAATGTCGACCTCGTCGAACACGTCGTTTCTTTTTTCCCCTCTTTTTTTATTTCTTCATACTCTATGGATACAGGTCGTTCGCGAATCGTGTTCGTCCGACAGGAAAAATTAGAGAACTCGTTCGAGCGTGGCCCATTTGATCCGTTTCATCGGAGCGCACTCGGTGCAATTCGGGTCGCCACGCTCGACCACTGCACTCGACCCACTCGACATCCGAACGAGCCACATCCGATCTCTCTGCCGCGAATTCTTAAATAAACGTGTCACCCGTTCAAAATCTATGAAAATTAAGCGCTTTCGTAGCAGACTTTGAATTAACGGTCGTTTTCGTTTTCGTTTTCGTTTTCGTTTCTATAATAATCTCTCTGTAGAGATATAATTCAGTAGAATTATAAGTACCTAAGGATATTGGGAAACTTTTGTCGAATAGGAAGCTCGGTTATCCGTTAATCTTGGCTTACGTGGAATCGTCGAATTTTAAAGTGACTCATTCCGTCCATGAACGAACGTAGTTGGTTGAAAGCGGGTCGCCATGAACGACTACTACACCGCCGTTGGAGCACACCAGACTGCATTGCGCAAAATTGCACCACCACCGGTTCAACAAATTTTCGTTATCGCCTCCGGTCCCTTTTCCGGAAATCTTTCCCCCCGAAATTTCGCCAAGAACAGGGTCGAAGATTTCGAAAATTAAATTTAGATTCGCCCTTTCGAGATCAGACGACGATGGAGGAACAAAAGTACCATTCTTGGCTCGATTGCCTCGATATTTCACGTAAAACATAGGAAATATTTAACTCCGGAATCGACTCTTATCTAATTCGACGTCGTTAGAATACTAATACTTGCTCGCGCTAGTCGATATTTATCTCGCGGAGTAATCCCGAAAGTAGCCAGTTTTTCGTTACGAACGAAGACTCTCGAAGCTTTTTGATTTCGCTCTTTCGCTATACCTTTCTCGACACGATTGCCCTACGTGAGCCGATTTCGAGAGCAGAAACTTTGGCGAGCAAACGACTGCTTTCTTTCGTCGCGACGCGTTTCTCCAAACGGAGGAATGGAGCTGAATCGACGATGGAAACCTTCTAACGCGACCTACGTCTAGTCTAGTGTGGCTTGTAAACAATGACACGACTTAACTTTACGTAATGTCGACCTCGTCGAACACGTCGTTTCTTTTTTCCCCTCTTTTTTTATTTCTTCATACTCTATGGATACAGGTCGTTCGCGAATCGTGTTCGTCCGACAGGAAAAATTAGAGAACTCGTTCGAGCGTGGCCCATTTGATCCGTTTCATCGGAGCGCACTCGGTGCAATTCGGGTCGCCACGCTCGACCACTGCACTCGACCCACTCGACATCCGAACGAGCCACATCCGATCTCTCTGCCGCGAATTCTTAAATAAACGTGTCACCCGTTCAAAATCTATGAAAATTAAGCGCTTTCGTAGCAGACTTTGAATTAACGGTCGTTTTCGTTTTCGTTTTCGTTTTCGTTTTCGTTTCTATAATAATCTCTCTGTAGAGATATAATTCAGTAGAATTATAAGTACCTAAGGATATTGGGAAACTTTTGTCGAATAGGAAGCTCGGTTATCCGTTAATCTTGGCTTACGTGGAATCGTCGAATTTTAAAGTGACTCATTCCGTCCATGAACGAACGTAGTTGGTTGAAAGCGGGTCGCCATGAACGACTACTGCACTCGACCCACTCGAAGAGAGGCCGGAACGAGTCGTGTCCGGTCTCGATGTTAGTAATCCGTAAATAGACGGAGGTCGTTGCCAAACTGTTGCTAGTAGATTAAAGACAGCGCCGAGACGAGCGCTGCGGAACGAGACTAATCGAACGATAATTACTGCCACCACCGATTATGTCTACGTTGTTTTACGTTTTATTTACACGCTGAAGGGACGGTTTTTTTCAGGATGTCATCGCGCTTAATTTTAACGTGTTCCAGGTGGATAGACCATTTATACTTTTCTGCCAAGTTTGTCTAGAGGTCGTCGGTAAAAAGATGCGTTTCCATTTGTAACTGCGCATTTGTTTACAGCAATTATTTTGAACCGTTAAAAATCTGTCGATGCCCAGCAGCGATCGTTCCGATAAGTTGTAAAAGTAATGCTTTTTCGGCGTCTTTTTTGTTCGATCGTAAATTTTACGTTACTTTTAGCGCTTGCTTAAACAAAGAAACGAAATGGCCGTTCAATTTGTTCAATGTCCCGACGAAGATTTATCGGTCATTCTTTTCAGCTGGTTTTTCTTTTATTTTATTCGTGTTCAGAGGCCAAACCAAAAACCGTATTTACTTTTCTACCGCAGACGGTTACGAACGACCTATTTCGATCGGTAAATCCGCAAAAATAACCGCGTTGCATTGCCGAATTCGTAGGTCGAATGTATCACAAGGAATAAGACTGAAAAATCGTGAAATTTTATCGAAATATCTTCGTAACTTTGGCGACTCGAGTAGCCTCTCGACGATCGTAAGCACGACTCTTTGCCACGCTCCCTTTTGTACCTCGACCCAAAGGCTCCTATATAGTCCGTACTCTATAGTTTCCAACCGAGACCATATCGACGATAATACCCGAAACTAATTCTCAATTACGATTCTATATCGTGGAAGATTGAAAATATCGGAAGCGTTTGAATACCGCAAGAATTTGAGTGTGCTCGTATCACCGACGACTGAACCGTGCCGAACGAATACGAACGATAATTACGGTGTTACGAGTCGTTCGGACAAAATTTATCTGCACGGAGTGGCCAGAATAATTTGCCAGAAATAGTAGTCGCATCGGTCAGACACGGGTCGAGTCTGTCTGATCATTTCGGGAACGACCTACTGCCCTTAAGCGGCGCAGTCGACGCGACGCGACGCGCCGTTTTGTACTCGATTCGCTTCTAATTACGCGCTTTCAAGCTGATCGCGTGCAATTACACGTAAATCAACATATTATGTGTTTACGTGCTTTCCCTTTTTCGATATAAACGAAAATGTCCAATTATAAGAATCGACGATTCCATTTAATATGTATACATCTGGTGAGCAAAAGTGCTTGTAATATAAAACGTGTTACGAGTATTTTAATTGAACCAGGGAAAAAGCACGCAATTATGAAAAGTAGATAGAGTTGTCAGAATAGTACGTAATGGCGCGACACTTTGTACGTGTTGCGTCAGGACTGAAAGTAGACTCGCAAAATGTCGTAGCATTAACGTTAGTTAAGAATGTGAAATACTGTGCGCGATAGAAATATCTACGAAATTATACTTATACGGCGAATTTACTACATCGATTTCATCAATTTTAATAATTTTTAATTTTCGAAAATTTAATGTCCCAAAGTTCCAAAGTATCGAAATCTAAAAATCCTACTTTTAAAGATAGCTACTAACTTTCCCCCAGTCATTCGTAACATCGGTAAATACGAACACGATCACGGAGGATGAGGGTAATTTCTTAGTTTCCCGTGCAGAATGTTATACAATGTAATCAGCGAAGAACGGAACAGAATGGAACGGAATGGAACGGAATGGAACGGAATGGAACGGAATGGAACGGAACGGAACGGAACGGAACGGAAGCCGCGTTCCTGGGAAGTGACGTGCTCGGCTGGTCCTACGACCTCGCTTCGATACTTCTCACGGTGTCACGGAAGTTCTTTCAGGCCATTCGTAGTTTCTCGCTTCGAATAGTCTGCGACCCAAGGATGGTCGTCGGTTCACCTTGACCTAGGTCAACGAAGATCCATCGAACGTTCTATTGTCGCAAACTTAACCTTCTTTCTTTCGTTCTTTGTTTTTGAATATCTGGATCGCGGACAAACGTCGCCGCGTGTGATTACGCGTCGGGACGGGTTCACACGTTCCCTGACGCGATCAACGCTTCTGGCTAACGATATGTGAACGGCATAGTTTTTAGAAAGTGACGCGTTCCCGCGTTTCTGGTAATTGGACCTAACGATTCAAGTAAAATTCAGTCTTTGAAAGAGAGAATAACAACTTTCTGCTTCTTAAACGGTTAACCTGGGATCGCGAGTTAACGCGTCGTTCGAATTAAACGACGTACCTACACGAACGCGGTTATCAGCGTAACGGTCACTAACGATCGGCACCACGGATTTCATTTAATTTCGCGGAACGAAACAATCGCGTTCGATATAACCATAATTACGACGAACCGTATAAGGGCTAGGAATGTACACGAATCCACGCGAACGATACGAAGTGCCAATGAAAGTCGCTGTTGATGGTACGTGTCAACGTCGTACGCTAGAAAATCGTTCGTGAGAGTAGAAATCTCGGTCGAATTTCGTCGAAAGTAACGCGTTTCTTTCGGGGAACGAATCGTGACACCTGTTCTCTTCGAAGGCGTAGCTAGCGTTCGAGCGAAAGAAATCGAAAGTGCGGTTGGAATCGAAAGGTGGACCAAAGAAATCGTTGGACGAATGGTTATAGCGAAAGACGAATCGTTTCGTAAGACGTTGAGACGCGACGACGATCGCGTAGTTCCTGTTCGCGAGGAAAGCGGGAATCAGTTAACGTTCGCGGCGCGAACGTGCCGCTATTCGCGCGATGCCGATTCTAGCGTGTTAAGTCGGCTGTGTGAATCGGAGTCGCGCGACACGAAGCCTGTCCCAAGCTCGTAGCTTCATTCACGCCCGCGAGAGGAAACGCGACGCGAGATGCTAACGGCAGACGTGCACGTGTTTATATTCCTTCGTCGACGTTTGGCGCAGACTTATTTATACATATGGCTTTGGCGCGTAGGAGCACCGGTACGAGCCTCGTTTCCTCGTAGACGCGCGATCAACCGCGTGAATAGGAACGCGACACGCAGGGCTAGCCTGTCAATGTCGAGGATAAGGATGGAACGCTTTTACTCGACGAGTAACGATGCATTGTTGCTTGTCTGCAATCGTTTCAAAGTATACAACGACGAACGACATTTTATCGAACTTGTGAAAATTATCAGGACCCTTTGAACTATTGGACCTATCATCGTCGGTATAATCGGGGCACCCGAGATTATCAGAGTTATTAAGACCTTTCGGACTAGCGAACGATTTCTACATCCGCTAATACCGTGCCGTGATCTTCGATGTATCCAAGAGCATCGAGGACGTTTAATTTCAAACAAATACTTGAAAGCGATTCGACGTCCCGCAACGTTTCAATGGCATCGATGGAAAATCTGCAAGACGAACGCTCGTCTCTATCCGACACGTCGACAAGAATAACTGCTAGCCGGTTTAAAAGCGGTCGGTTAATCGTTACCAGCTTGTCCGTAATTGCTCCGCGCTCGCCAATAATGCAGTATCTTTGGCTGGCTCGAATCAGCGCGCTTCTTCGATGATTCATCGAGACTTTTGTTTATTGTTTACGCTGCAGATTCTGCCACGGCGGTTCAGTAACTTTTCCAGCGGATCGGGAGCAGTCAATGTCCGCTACAATCGTTGCTCTACAACGTATCGATGCTATGCATATTTTCGCCATTTCTAT